TATCTAAGTTAAAAAATTACATTTTGATCCAGTTTTAAGTTTCAACAAATTGTTAATAGATTTAATAAATATACATATACGTTATAATCTATATTAGCTTTAAGTTTATGTGAATTATTTGGTAGGGTTTTCATAAATATATGTTGATAAGATTGGCTTGTATTATGGTCTATACTAACTTTTTTCGTTATTTATTTGGTAGAATTTTTATAGATATGCATAAATAAGTATATGTATATTATAATCTGTATTAATTTAAGTTTATATGAGTTATTTTATATGATTTTTATAAATATACATAACTAAGATACATATAAGATTTTACATCATGTAATTTATTCAATATGGATCAACTAAAAATTTACTCGATATAGATATCGAATATTGATTTACATTTTGATGAAGTAAAGTGCAGCATGTAATTCCACTAGGAAACAATTAATTGTTAAGAGGTCAAGTTGGTACGATGCACCATTTGTAACGCCCGGAAATTTGAAAAAAAAAAAAAATTATTATTTTATTATTAATTATTTTAATTATGTTTAAAAAAAATGTCACGTCAGCAGACCCAGTCAGCAGTCCCGGCCAACCAGGATCTGCCACGTGGCAAAACCACGTCGACCGGGGACGGGCCACGTTGGCGATCCGCGTACGCGCGATCGGACGGCCCAAATCAAGCGTGCGTACGGACGACCCAGATTAAAACAAAATGGACGGCTGAGATCAAAAGGCAAAAGGGTATAAATAGAACCCCCACACCTGACCACAAAAACTCTAGCCGCCTGCCCTCGCCGGAGAAGACGAACCAGACGCCGGAGACGCCGGCCGCCGCCACCCGCCGCCGCACCGGGGAGATTTTCGACCGCCGATTGAGGTAAATTTCATACCCCCGACTCGTTTTTCCACACTGATTTTCCCTGTGGCCAAATCGGAGCCAAAATCCCGGCCAAACGATCGGAAAACACGGCCGAAACCCAGCGGCGTCGCCGCATCCCTCGGTTTTTGCCTCCGATGAGGCCCTTCCCGGCCTCCGTTTGATGCAATTTTTATATCACCGTGATCACCATTCTTTCTCTACAGGTTGATCGGAGCCGAATCACCAAAACACGAACCTCACCGGAGAGCCGCCGCACCCGAGAGCACCGCCGCCGGTAAGCTTCGGTTTTTCGTAATTTTTTGGCCCCCGAGGGCCCTAGGGTTGTTTTATCGCAAGGATCGATGCAAGTGTGGCCGAATTCGGCCGAAAATGGCCAAACTGAGGCGGATCGCCGCCGCTTGCGGCGGCGCCGTCGCCGGAGCACGGCGGAGCCGCCGTGCCGGAATTGCGATATTGGCCAAAAAGGGGCCCTGGGCCTAATTTGGGATTTTTTGGAACACGTGCAGGTACCAGTAGTGCATTTCAGTTCCCTGAGAAAAATTCAGAAAAAATTAGGGACAGCCTGTAGGCGCACTGTAAAACTGTGTTCGGACCCCGAAACGAGTAAGGACCCCTCACCCTATTTCCTATCACGGTATTAAAGTTCAATAAATGATAAAATGGTATTTCATGAATCAACGAATGTGTGAAATTGCTTAAGGTCGCTAATGGAGCCCGAGTCTCGTGTGGCTGTCGGTTAACTGTTATTTGGCTTGTTTTACAGTTTTAAATGCAGTATGAGGTTTAATGTTTTCATTTTATAGTTTCGTGTGCATATTTTACTGTTTTATTGATTATGGATTGAATGACTGGAATATTAATGCTGTATGTTGTCTGTTTGGCATAAATTACCGTTTTGCTTGTTTGTATGTGGATTGATGACGCTGACTGAGGAAAAAGAGAATGAAAGATTATGTAAATAGGTAATTGTATAATGTGGTCAGCCTGACTAGATATCCTGGGAGATGATGGACGGACCGGGTCCGTAGGGAACCCTATTGGGATTGTGGTCTCCCATACCGGACGGGGTATGGAGATCTTATGTGTTTTGGCGCCCATACCGGACGGGGTATGGGGACAGCCCGTTTCACCCTCATACCGGACGGGGTAATAAGGTTTATAGGTTTGGCGCCCATACCGGATGGGGTATGGGGACGGCCCTAGAATCTGTTTTTCAAGTGTTAAGGGTTAACGGGTAGCGGGACCCCTATGGATCCCCATGGATACTAGTAGGCTGGTAAATGAGGAAAATATGTTGTGTAATGATTGAATTACAAAAGGGGTGATAAGTATTATGTTATACAGTTTATATATGATTTCATGATGATGATAATGTTATTACTTTCGTATACTGTTTTATGAATTTTACCGAGGTAAGTGGATGGTGAAGGATTTATTATTGATAAAAGAATTTCTTGTAAATTATGCTCCATTGGTCTTTTTGTATTTTCTACCCACCTTTACCTCCGTGACGGTGAGATATCGTGATGTCTTTACTGGGCTAGTGTAGCTCATTCCTTATTTAATCATTTCAGATCAGGAAGACATTGTTCCCGAGCCCGTTCCGCAGAAGGACGACGAAGGGGACTCCTAAAGACTCCATAGTCACATTCGTAGCTTTTACTTTCGAGTTTCTCCTTTAGGTAGTTTGATCTTTTATATTTCGTGAGCACGTTTTTGGTTTTAGTATAAGGGATGTTAATCGAATTTTTAACTTCGTTTCCGCATTTGATATTTTTAAAAGACAATTTCATTTTAAATTTCCGAGGTCGTTACACCATTAGTCTACAAAAATAAATATATAATGGTTCATATACTCAATCTTAAACACATCGATATCAAGCTTAATAGAGAAATAGTTGAGATTTGGCAAGCTTGAAGGAGTAAATATGGGTTTACGAGGATAGTAGAAGTATAAGCATAGTGTAAAGAGTGTTCCAAACATTTACA